ATGCTTTCGGTGGAAGATCTACTATTCGAAGTGGGGAGATAAAGGATTTCAAATCCTTCCTGCAACTACCCAGCACTTGGTTCCTAGTCGACAGCTCACCAACACCACTGCTCTTGAAATCCAGGACTATCTTCTCGGTATCACCAAAAACTTTACTTTCTAGCACGAAGGGGTACCAAGAAATCATGAAGAAGGTCATATGGAAGTACTACATGGCTCCGTGGGAACTAGATGAGTTAATAGAATGCAAAAACAAGGTTCGAGTCTTTAAAGAGGCCTTTGACTCTGACAAATCCCGTGAGAACCTTTTAGAAGAGCTCTATGACAAGATCGGTGGCGTGCCAAGATATGTCCTCGAGAAACCGAGAAAGGTATTCGGGAATAATGGGACAATAGCCAAAGCCGAGTCGGAAGCATTAGAACGCCTTCAGCTAGCTCTTGACGATCTCCAGGACCCATCAAGGATAATAAACCATTATATGCAAGGCCGGGATTCAATGGAATATAGCAGCCAGATTTTTCACCGTTATCCAACAGAAGATCATGAAGGATTCGAATTACGATGGGCTTCTAATCATATTATGCAAAAGGTGTGTGGTTTATTAAACGAGAGTACCTGGGCCAATGTGTTGGGAAAGCTCGTCGATAGTAATCCACTAGGCAAAGGAGTAATGTTCCAAAACTATGTGCAGCGCATGCTGCGGCTGGGCGGTCGTAGCTTTAAGGCCAAGAGCATTGATGATGGCACTGAGATAACTATTGAAGTCGAAGAAAGTCCGAAAACCAAATTCTTTCATACTTTGGATAAATATGTGAAGGACGATATGGAAGGATCATTGTGGCTGCCAAAGAGTAAGACCTTTGCTTGTGTGGATATGTTAATAGCTCCGAAATATCTACTCCAGATTACAACGAACAAGAATCATGGCATCAAAAGTAAAAACTTCAAGGAACTTCTGAAAACTCTGCAAGATAAAAAGTGGATTAGCTCCTCTGACGAGGTTGTATTTATTTTTGTTGTCCCGCAAGACATGGCCGAAGAGTTCAAGAAAAAAACTTACAGAATTGGAGCAAATCGTGTGGATCCTACGCCGACAATCGAATTAAAAAATATCAAGCAATATGTTTTGGCGGTTGATCTGCAAGATGAGCTCCGGAGATGCAGGAAGAAGGCAAGCTAGACGGACAACTCAAATGAAAGTAGAATTGTGAATCAATAAAGTCCATGTACTCTGATAGAGGAACTAAATCGTGAATAGATCTCGGATGAGGTGTGATTGGAGAGTGAAGAAGTTGAATATATGGCCCCCGGAAGCCGTTGGCTAATGAATGATGATAAAGAAAATAATGATGGGGAGGAGAGAGGGGGAATTGACAGTCCTGCGTACTAATAGATAATTTATAGATTTTAGTACCTCAGTGCATGGTTGATTTTTTGTCACTCTTTGGATGCATGCCATGGGAAGGATGACTGACTAGTGTACAATTCCCCTTCCGCAATTGCAAAATGTTCAATCCCTTCATCCCTCTTCACAAAACCTGTCGTATAGAGCATTTGGATTCTATGGATCCTGAGAACGCAGATATGCGTATATGGAGCACTCAGACACTTTGGGAGTGTTGCAGAGATGAATCTCGTAGATGCATATTAGTATCATTTCCATCCCCGCCCCGAGCGCCCATTTTTTTTTGTTGAGAGCACATGGAAGTGATGCTAGACATTCATAAACAAAGATGCAGGTGATCCTAACACAAAAACTGATCCGCACAATACCCATGGAAAGTGATACTAAAATCTTTCGTTGATACCATTTTTGTTATTTTGGCAAGCAGTACGAGTATGTCATCCTAAATTTTCGTTATTTTGGTACACAGTACTAATATGCCATACTGGACACTTGATACTAAAGTCAATACGATCTTTTTATATCTGTATGGATTCGGCAACATACCTCTAGCAAAAAAGAGACCGGAAAGGTGTTTTGAATTTTTGTAGGCAGGGAATAAAAAATGAAAATGGTTAATACTGCTAGATGCACTAAAAGAGTGGAGGCAAGTAAATGGTGGACAGAGTGCATCGTGATTGCTGATATTTTTCTACTGATATTTTTCCTTCCTTTGCATGTAATAGGCGGCTGCCTTCTGCTAGAAGGGAGCACAGAAAACTGGATCTGATCTGCCTATGAGTTTGTGGGAAAAATTAATTAGTAAAAAATCAATCCAACAAAAAAGTATCAGCAAACACCATATATCAAGCTATATTATCACGATGCACCATGTCCACCATTTACTTGCCTCCTCCACTCTTTTACCATTTTCATTTTTTATTCCCTGCCTAAAGAAAAACAAAACACCTTTCCGGCCCCTTCTTTGCTAGAGGTATGTTACCGAATGCATACAGATATAAAAAGATCGTAATGATTTTAGTACCAAGTGTCCAGTGTGGCCTACTAGTACTGCGTACTAAATACAACAACCCTTGTATTCTCACTCACAGCCTTCCATTGATTTTCTTCTTTTCAGCACTCAATTACACAAATGACAGACGAAATTTCACTTTCTTGTATTTGTCGATGGAGAGTCTATCGCATTCCCAGTGGACAACAATCCCCAGAAAACTCAAAGGTACTATCAAGAAGAAAGAAGAGCCTGGATTCGACGACATTTCTGCCAACAAGCTTGTGCTTTTTCATGTCTCCATCCCTTCTGCACCAAAAAGACAGACTACGCTCAACAATCTGACAATCAAAGAGAGCTCGAAGGAGCCAGAGGAGTTAGGTTACCCCGACAAGTGAGATCCCCGAGGTCTTTAGAACGGCACCACTAAAGAGAACCATCCACGTCTTTGTCCAGCGATCATCGACCTGACCGCATCCTGTTTATTAGAAATGGGCAAGCGCGAACGATAATTGAAATCAAGTCGGTTTGGTCGCTTTCAACGTGCGACATCATTGCAAGCTTTCAAACAGATGTAGCCTATATCGCAAGGTTATTTACTCGATCTCATTAGACCTTTGTACTGAAATATGAAATATAAAGACCGATGATTTTACAAAAAAACATGGTAACTCAAGCATAGTAAAAGGTCATAGAGGAGCTGACTGTGGCATCAAAAACGGTTTGCGGTTAGGTGTCAAAAAAAAAGTTTACTATCCATTTAAAATAGGGCTTGAGGGAGAGGTCTGAGTGGTCACCGCCATACTTGGGTTCAGGTGTCAAACGAAAAAAAAAAAAAAAAAAAAAAAAAAACTAACTAAAACCTCTTTTTACACCTACGCCTCCTTTTGCACCTACGCCTCTTTTTACACCTCTGACATCTGTTCCCGTGATTTGTAGGCAGAAAAAGATTTTTTTGGTCTGAAAAATCATGCAGGGTCAAAAATATGGTTAATTACAAAAAAGTCTGCCAAAATAAGTACAGTCGAAACAAGTAGAATTGATTTGAATAAAGGAAAAATGCATCCCCCCGTCAGAATAAAAAATTGACCCCGGCTGAGAATTCCCAAAACCCCCCGTCAGAATTCCGAAGCACCCCCCGTAAAGATTCTCGAAAGGCAAATCTTAACCCCCCGTCAACCGTTTTAATTATCGGAATCTTTATCCCCCCGTCAACATTTTGAGGCTGTTTTTGGGTCTTATTTTCTGCTTTTGGTTGCATCTGTCTTTCTATTAAACTCAACGCTATTATAGCCCTCTTACTTTTTATCTTATCATCAAAAACTTGACAGTAGAAAAATCAGCTAGACAGACACATGTTCCTTGATGAATGGCTCCCCCCCTAGTATTTTATTTATCTCTAGGCTCAGAACCTTCAGCAACTTTACATGCACCACACAAGCCCGATATAGTCATCGAAAAAAAAAAAAAAAAAAAAAAAAAAAAAAGAGACTTTACACTATATAAGACCACATGTCGCACAATCCAAACTATCTTCGCAATCAATGACATTTATTGTCTTAAATACAGATTGGGACAATGGGGCCTTTTACACTTACAGTGTGAGGGTACAGTTGGGCTCTTTTTTTTTTTTTTTTTTTTTTTTGACGTGTTTTGCTGTCAACAAGCCACAAAGATGCTTGCATAAACTCAGGTCCAACTTGATGCTCTTGATTAGGAATGAAAAACGGTTCTCAATTTCAAAAAGCAGCTCTAGAATGTTGACAGGGGGGGTTAAGGATTACGTGGTTGCCGGGGGGATAGGAATTCCGAATAAAGGTATGTTAACGGGGGGGGGGTTTTAGGAATTCTCAGCCGGGGGTGCATTTTTCCTTAGTCCGTTTTGGCGTGGGTCCGAGAAAGGAAATGGTTGCATTTAATTGAGTCCACTGCGTGCACTTAGAGAGAGATAAACTTGATCTAGTCAGGCACAAAAACAAATAAAAAAATAAATCAAACAAAAGTTCAAAAAAAAGCCTTCACACTTCAGCAACACTCAAAGCTTCTGAACCTCACCAAAAATCTCTAACTTTAAGGTAAATATTTAAGAATAAAACTACTGCTTCTCACAGAAAAAGTCGTTCTAACTTGTTTTAAGTATGGCTCTTGGCTTTATATCAAAATGCTAGCTTTCAAATATGGACAATATCCAATTCGTTCTTGAAGCCACTCCAGAGTATGCTGCCCGACAACAGTTTGTTCTCAAGATCTTCAAAGCCCTGGCGGCCCAAAAAATGTCATTGCGCGATTTCCTTATATTAGCGTTCGACTCAGAGGAATCGTTCGTGAAACAAAGAGTTGGTTTTTTTGAAGGTAAAGGTGGTCCAGCAAAGATGGTGGAAATCTGGAAAGATAAAAAGACTGTCTTTGAAACGGAGTCTTTTGCCCGATCTACGGTTGCTGTCGTTGTGAAACACGTTGAGAAGGAAATGGAGCACATGTCTTCAAAAGGCTGTTTACATTGTCCCAAGAACGGACCTACTCCAGAATTTTTCGAAAACTTCTCCTTTGATCTCATTAGCAAAATTGTGGTGAAGAACGCGCCAGTTTTGACATCAGTTTTGATGGGATTTGCTAGCAACAATTTACGGGCGTCTCGAGAAGAGCGAATCATAGTGCCATTTATTGCAAGCATGTTGATGCTCCAGAAGAACCAGCAGGCAAATCAATTGCAGACGTTCTTAGGGTTTTTCTTCCGCGGAAGTGGATGCAGCAAAAGAGCCGTTAGGATGCTTTCATCCGCTTGTTTAAGTGTCTCTTATGACTCAACATCTGACACACTTCAGCGCTTGACCAAGGTAGCCTTGGAAAACGTATGTAAGCAAGTCCTCGAGAAGCCATGGATGTTGGTTTACGACAATATCAACTTCGCAAACAGGAAGGAGAACCAGCGTAAGGACAACCGTGATACTTTTGAGAGCGGCACTACGGCAACAATAATTATGGATGAGCACCTTGGCGACATTCCCTCAAGGATATATAATCAAACTCGTCCTCAAATATGGGAATTCCTTCCTGCTAACCATCACAAAAAAGGTATGCATCGATTTCATATCTCTGATGACTTGCAGCGTTATTCGGATGAGTACGCTCAGCATGCGGTTCAAATGCGCAAGATGGACGTTCTCAAGGCAACAAAGTCGATAGCAATCCCATTGCCAACGATGAAGATTGACCAGTCCTCGACCGCGGGCAATATCGAGGTCATAGGGACGGTCTTTATGAGGATGCTTAAGCTGCAAAAGCCGTGGTTTGAAGGCAGGTCGGTCATTATTGGAGGTGACCTGCTAACCGTTGCACGTGTAGTCTCCGCCCAACAGTGGCGTATAACGGATGTCACCAGGTTCGATCGTTTAGAATGGGCAATCCCAGTGATGCAACTCTTTCATCTTCAGATGAATCTTGCGGCCACGATTTTCAAGACGCATTATGGTTCTAGCTCCACAGGAGGTTCCAAGCGAATGGTACAAAGAATTATGGGAATGAGCTTCTGAAACTGGCCTACGGGATTCGATGTCTTTGGTCGCCTGAGCTTAAGAAGGCTATTATGCGTTCGTGGCTGATTAATACCTCTGGTAGTGATGATGGGTGGATCCCAGCTGACATGTTTCAGGAACATTCTAACCGTCTGATTAAATCAGCCCATGCAGCTAAAGGCAGTAATATGAGCTGGGAGTATCTTGCGCATTCAATCTCAATGAACATTCACCTGGTTTCCAAGGTTGACTCGAAGATTGATTCCGAGTTCAATTTGTCTTTCAACAGCCAGGCTCATTTTGAAGTATCCAAGGAAGGCGATATTCAAACCGTCATATCTGAACTTCGGCATTTTGGTATTCTTGAACATGAACCGCCTCATGATATGATTCCAAATACAAAGCCTGTCAGGGATCTCTATACAGAAGGACTCCAAAAGTTGGTCCAAGGGGGTATTAGCAGACTTTATGACAATAACCACGAGGCAGATGAGCATGATGACAATCTAGAGAACATATAAGTTCGATGTGCCAGACGAAGTGCAAGCGAAATTACCATTATGATTTTGTACGACCAATTTTTTTTAGCTATTTTTTAAATATATTTTGCCAATGTAACTGTACAGTCGAACTTGCAATATCTGGACATCCCACTGTCAAACTTGTCCGGATATTTGGCGGATAATAATTAGGTTTTACTGAGTTGGGTGGTATTCTAAACTTTATAAAATATATATACAGTCCTCTGTTAGGCACAACCCTCCACACAGACATGATTTTTTTTTTTTTTTTTTTTTTTTTTTAAAAAATACGAGCTTATCTTCGCCTCTATCCCTCTCTTCTCTCTCTCTCCTCCTCCTCCTCTCTTTCTCTTTTCTCTATTCCCTTCATCTTAGGTTCCCCATCATTATTTTCTTTATCATCATTCATTAGCCAACGGCTTCCGGGGGCCATATATTCAACTTCTTCACTCTCCAATCACACCTCATCCGAGATCTATTCACGATTTAGTTCCTCTATCAGAGTACATGGACTTTATTGATTCACAATTCTACTTTCATTTGAGTTGTCCGTCTAGCTTGCCTTCTTCCTGCATCTCCGGAGCTCATCTTGCAGATCAACCGCCAAAACATATTGCTTGATATTTTTTAATTCGATTGTCGGCGTAGGATCCACACGATTTGCTCCAATTCTGTAAGTTTTTTTCTTGAACTCTTCGGCCATGTCTTGCGGGACAACAAAAATAAATACAACCTCGTCAGAGGAGCTAATCCACTTTTTATCTTGCAGAGTTTTCAGAAGTTCCTTGAAGTTTTTACTTTTGATGCCATGATTCTTGTTCGTTGTAATCTGGAGTAGATATTTCGGAGCTATTAACATATCCACACAAGCAAAGGTCTTACTCTTTGGCAGCCACAATGATCCTTCCATATCGTCCTTCACATATTTATCCAAAGTATGAAAGAATTTGGTTTTCGGACTTTCTTCGACTTCAATAGTTATCTCAGTGCCACCATCAATGCTCTTGGCCTTAAAGCTACGACCGCCCAGCCGCAGCATGCGCTGCACATAGTTTTGGAACATTACTCCTTTGCCTAGTGGATTACTATCGACGAGCTTTCCCAACACATTGGCCCAGGTACTCTCGTTTAATAAACCACACACCTTTTGCATAATATGATTAGAAGCCCATCGTAATTCGAATCCTTCATGATCTTCTGTTGGATAACGGTGAAAAATCTGGCTGCTATATTCCATTGAATCCCGGCCTTGCATATAATGGTTTATTATCCTTGATGGGTCCTGGAGATCGTCAAGAGCTAGCTGAAGGCGTTCTAATGCTTCCGACTCGGCTTTGGCTATTGTCCCATTATTCCCGAATACCTTTCTCGGTTTCTCGAGGACATATCTTGGCACGCCACCGATCTTGTCATAGAGCTCTTCTAAAAGGTTCTCACGGGATTTGTCAGAGTCAAAGGCCTCTTTAAAGACTCGAACCTTGTTTTTGCATTCTATTAACTCATCTAGTTCCCACGGAGCCATGTAGTACTTCCATATGACCTTCTTCATGATTTCTTGGTACCCCTTCGTGCTAGAAAGTAAAGTTTTTGGTGATACCGAGAAGATAGTCCTGGATTTCAAGAGCAGTGGTGTTGGTGAGCTGTCGACTAGGAACCAAGTGCTGGGTAGTTGCAGGAAGGATTTGAAATCCTTTATCTCCCCACTTCGAATAGTAGATCTTCCACCGAAAGCATAACACGATGAACCTTCCTTTTGCTGGATGATGATAATAGGCGGGTCTTCCTCGTTGCTAGTGGCAAGCATTCGGATGGCGAAGTATACGAGAAAGGATGATTTTCCTATACCGGCTGTCCCTGTGAGAACCATTTGGGGGTCTTCAGCCTTTATATCCCCACCTACACCATACTTCTTGATGATCTCATCGTAGAATTCTTTGTAAGTTTGTCGTACATACAGATCTTCCGTGTCGATCACAGGAAGCTTTGTCCCCAAAGGGCTGGATATCACGTCTAATTCTTGAAATGATGCGTTTTGGAGGGAAGTGGCCGTTTGGGATATTGAATAGTACAAGTCAGTCCTTCCCACCCTGACGCCATTATTACCAAGTACTGAAACCAGTTCTTTACTTGTAAGGACGGAGGGATCAGGATCGCCGTTTATTAAAGCCTTTTGGGCAAGTCCTGCTGCACTAATCGCCTCCATTAGGCTCATGTTTTCTAGCTTGACCTTTTTAGAGGAGCTCCTATCACTCTCGTCATTCTCTAGCTGATCTCGATCTCTTTTCGAAACTTTGTTAAAATTTAAACAAATAGAATAGTTTTAGAAGGCAGTTTGACGCCTTAAATCGAAACTATCAGTCCAATAAGAACTAAAGACATACCTCGCTTCGGTACTTCAACAATAATGTAAATGAGATTATCTGCTGCCTCGTCAGGAAAGTAAGTGTGGAGTTTCTCAAGTACGTTGTCAAGGGCCTTGAGTGACTCTTTAGGAAACTTGCATAGTTCCTCTACTGTTGAACCATTAGGGATGAGCTTGAGAATAAGATCCTTCGCATCGGTACCATTAAAAGTGTTTTCATTCTCTGCTTTAATGGCATCCTTTAAGTCGTCAATAGTTTGGTCGGAACGAATGATCACTGAGAATTCCGGTTCTCCTTCCACAAGGCAGAAAAGTTTCAGTTTAATTGGCTTGGAAGACTTGATGTTGTTTGTGGTTGATTTAGAGATTCGCGACATTGAAGATTTGTGTGCCAGACGTGAAGAATTTCTGATTGATTTATTCTCTCGTGCCAGATGTGTAGAATTCTTTGATTTATTTTCTTGTGCCGGACGTGTAGAGGTAGATTTATTTTCTTTTGGCATGATTGTACAGTGTTACAAGATTGCAAGGTTACAAAGGGAGTATGAGTGAGTGCTGAGAGGCAAAATTATGTTGATCTCGTACTTTATTTGTTTCTGTGAAGAAAATGAACCACGTGTTGTGCTCCTGAAACAATTCAAATCAATCAGGCGCGTAATTTTTGTGATGTATAAGAGATCCATGTTTCTCGTTTTCTTTTTTTCTTTGATGTTGATGCTCCCGAGTCCTCTGGCAATTGAGTCGTTGACTGCAGAGAACATAGATAGAGTCGAGATGTGGATAACAATGATGCCTTTGGTGGATTGGGTACCACCAATAGAGAGAAGGAGAAGGAGGAGGAGGAGCAGGAGGAGCAGCCAGTAAAAGAAAAGCTAATGAAGGATGAGGACTAGACAGCCCCTGAGATGATTGCTGTTGTTGGCATTGATTGTTGTAAATATATTGCATAAAGTTGAACGTATATTGGTGATATTGGTGTTGCTGATTGATCTTGACATGATACTGCTGTAATTGTGCTCCTATCTGATGTGGTTCGAGCTGATGCTGTAGGTGCTGTCGTTGCTGTTGCTGTTGCTGTTGCTGCTCTTCCTGCTGCTGCGGTCGTCGCTACAGCCCTTTTAATTGTTGCTGTATGAGTTGAGCGGTGCTATTTGAACTCTTCGAAACTTCCTATATATTATTATCCGGACAAGTTTGACAGTGGGATGTCCGGATATTGCAAGTTCGACTGTACATCAAGTGCAGAAAATTAATTCATTACCCTGTAGGTCCTTGCAATCAAAAGAAAAAAAAAAAAAAAAAAAAAAAAAAAAAAAGAACACGCGTCTATCCAAACAATTTTCTGGATTTCGTTTGTTTTGTGGATGATAAAGCTGTTTCATCAACTATTTGTTAGTTGCCATATTTATTCTTCAAAGCTGTGGAGTAATCAATGATCTTAAACTGTGGCCTTGGTGTGGAAGTTCGGATATGGGGGACGGTGGCAGTATGGGCGCATCCGATGGGCAGTCTAGTCGCCACGACCGTAAGCTTGGAGAAGTTGGTATTTCGGAAACATCCATCGACAGGATCTCTTGAACTGCAGCGGATTCTTTTCTGGGCAAGTCTAGTTCTAAAAATTCGCCTGGAAAGAGTGGCAAGGGTTGTGTATTTGGGTTGGAGTTGCTCCGGAAATCCCTGGAGATCGGGGCAGGACGGTGCAGCAATTGATATTTATCCCCATACAGGAAACTTCCGCCTTCCAGCGGCTTATCGGCGCATCTGGTCTGCACAGTATGATTGTCTCCAGTTGATCCCTTTAGGTACACCGCTACATCCCGTAGCTGGCTGCCATCATTGATATCTGCATTCAATCTCTTCAATATTCCTGCCACCTGGCTCAAGTGGAAATCGAAGAACGGTGTCCATATTGTCAATTCGTTGATTGATGCAGTATCTGTGATCTTCCCAAAATTATCCCCCAATTTTTCGAGCACCTTCTCAGGCAATACGCAGCTGGGAGTGGCTTCGCTACATATAGGATATAGATCTCGGTTAAATGCTTCAAGTCGCCACGAAACCAAGATATCCTTTGCAAGCCTCTTCTGTTCGGCAGTCCGAGGCGCACTAACAGATACCTGTTACGTACCGAGGCTTGGGAGTGCACCTCAGGTGCACTTCCATTTTTATTCATAAGGTCAGAATATCATGTGACGGTCATAGAGAGTCCTTGATAAAAGGCTCTCGTTTGACAATAATAAAAACAACTTTTGATCTCCTTGACTTCTAATATCTGAAAAACATCTCAATACCCATTTTGGAGCACGCTTTAGGACATCGTTGTGCGACACATCTTCGTCCAGGCAAGGCCTACACAAATCACAGCAGTCTTCAGTGTATCCAGGCGGGTTTTGGAATACGTTGTTAAGTACAGCTCTTCTGCACAACTTAGTGTTGATGAAGTCGTTGACAGCTTGATCAAACTTCATGCGTTTGGGGGCCGCTCTTCCGACTGCTGCATCCTTGGAAAGCTTGCTGTTAACTTCACCGTCCGCTACTAAGACAATGCCAACCCCTTTCCGCTGTGGATCGCGGGCTGCGCGCCCGAGTCGTTGAACAAGTGATACTACAGAGTCGGGTACGCCGACTTGAACAACTCGATCGATATCACCTATGTCGCATCCCATTCCTGCCGCTTCTGTTGAAAGGAGTAGCAAGATTTCTCCCTGTGCGAACCGCTCCAAATGGTGAATTTTGCCCTCTTCAGATAAATTAGCATGAAAAACGTCGATTTTAGACGCGTTGCTGCCGGCCACGCTTTTTAAATGCTCGAAAACCCCCATCATCTCGTTCTTTGCGTCAAAGTAGGCAATAGTCTTTTTTTTGAAATTCAAGAGGGAGTTGAAATGTGAGTAGCGCTCGCCCTTTTTCCTGCAGTATATCTTCACCTCATATCTGATGTTTGGTCGATCATTCCCAAGATTGATGATTAGAGGATCCTCCATTCGTATTGCCCGAGTAACGTCTCCTAGTAGATATTTGGGGAGCGTAGCCGAAACAGCAATAAAAGGTATATTTCGGATCGTAGGTCGAAAGGAGAAAATCATTGAATATGCCTCCCTGAATTTATCGCCCCATGTACTCACAACATGGGCATCATCTACAATCACGGCCAATAATTGCTGTTGCCATCTCTTATTTCTCCAGATTCCTTTTAAGTGGTCGCTTTCAAACAAGAGCTCAGGGGTTACGAAAACAGCCCTGTAGATACCCTCGGAAAGATCCTTAACTAGTTGCTCGTTGGAGGTAATTTGATCCCCAGCAGATAAAGCTACATTCCTGATCTCAAGTTTGTTTAGCTTTGCAGATTGTTCCCACATAGTCGCCTTCAGAGGGCTTATTATAAGGATAGTCTGCTCTAGCCAAAGAACCGGAGGAAGGAAATAGACAAGCGTTTTGCCCCATCCGCATGGCGCGATTAGGACACAATCTGTTCCTTGGTCAATACATTGGATGACCTTTATTTGATCCTCCTTGGGTGTCAATCCAAACTTCCGCTCACACTCAATTTTGACAATCTCTGGAGTGATCATTATAGTTACTATTTTTCTTTTTTTTTACACGAGGATATGAGAAGCGCAGCGAACAATGGTGGCGCAGCCATAGATCAGATCAAAAGAACGGACAAGAACAATTGTAGTTCATCTTTTATTATTCTTTCTTTCTTAAATATTTACCTTGAAGTTAGATATTTTTGGTGAGGTTCAGAAGCTTTGAGTGTTGCTGAAGTGTGAAGGCTTTTTTTTTGAACTTTTGTTTGATTTATTTTTTATTTGTTGTTGTGCCTGACTAGATCACGTTTATCTCTCTAAGTGCACGCAGTGGACTCAATTAAATGCAACCATTTCCTTTCTCGGACCCACGCCAAAACACTCAAAAATTCTTCGCCCCTCTAGTTATGTGTGACCTAAAAAGGAAACTGATATGTTTCCGGTCACATTTCAAACTAGAGAGGGCTGGGTCGAGCCTAGGGTTGCGATACTGATAATAAAGAAGCTTTTTATTTTTTATTTTTTATTTTTTTTTTGACCATTACATGTACATAAATTGTGGGGCTCTCCCAGATGTTCCACCTCTTTCTTTTATTCACGCACTGCTGGAACACATCCCTCCGTGTAAAACTAAGATAATGAGCTCCAACAATGCTTCTTCTTTATCATCTTCGCCCCAAAGCACTGAACAATCTTTCACCGATCTCATCACTGCTCTTCGAAAAGAAATTGACGATTTGCGTCGTCAAAATGATGAACATCGTGAAACAGGGCACAATCTACACGTTGTCAGCAAACAGACAGCAGTGACCTTTTACCCCTATGAAAAGCTCATTGAATACGTCCCTTCAGCAGAAGGTCGACACTTCTTTAATTCACGGATCCCTGAGGACGACAAAATTTATGATATGGCAGACTTCCACCTCAATGCCAACATGTCTTACACAGCTCCGCTCACCAACGTTCCCAGCCAGTCTGGTATCTCAAAATTTAACTTGGCTATCGACAAAGAACTGGCCCAGATCCAGAGCATGCTGGCTCACTGCACAAGGCCAATCGACACGTACGCCTCAGAAATCGTCAACAGAGGTAACCCTGACGAAGAGTGGTCGGCTTCATCGCTGGCAATTCTTCATGTCATTCGAGTCATGTTGGAAAGAATTGCAACTCACATTACTAGGACCCGCGAGCAAGTCGTACTTCGTTCTCTGGGGCACACAATCAAACCAATAGGCTCCACACCTCCAATTCTCGAGGCTGACAAGATTGCTGAATCCAGAAAATTCACTGAGGTCGTTCGTGAATCGTCAAAACGATTATACAGGTCAGACAGGTCATATTACAAAGGCAAACATACTTACCAACCACATAGACGCAACGATCGATATAATAATTAAAGGAGCTCACGCGATCGCTGGATTGACTATCGCAATGAGACGTCTAATCAGTCGCATCGACGCTCCCCTTCGAGATCGAGGCGGTCACCATCGCCCAGTCCAAATAGGAATGGCAACAACAGGAGCGGCTCTCGGTACAGCAAGGGAAAAGGACGGGGAGGGAAGTCGAACAACTTAGTGGGCGGACGACTTCACCTCTATCAGTGTGCTTGGCAGCTTCTGTCCGACTCCGAGTGGGTCAACTCCGTGATAACAGAAGGTTACAAAATCCCATTCCATACAGAGCCGCCAAGCCGCTCACCTCATCGGACCATGAACTAGTTTTCCAATCACGAGAAGGCGGTCATTGAACAAGAAGTGATAGCGCTGTTACACAAGAGAGCCATCGAGGAGGCGACAGGTCCAGGATTTTACAGTCGCATTTTCGTTATTCCAAAAAAGATAGGCGACATCAGACCAGTATTGAATCTCCGTCCATTGAGCCAATACATCCAAAAAGGGTCTTTCAAAATGGAAACACTCCATCAAATATGCAATTTAATAAAGAGAAACAAGTATATGACCTCCATAGATCTGAGCGATACGTTTTTTACATGTTCTGGTTCACCCATCATGCAGGAAGTACATGTACCTTCGGTTTCAATGGAAAGGCAAAGCGCTTCAGTTTTGAACCCTTCCATTCGGCCTATCACTGTCACCCCTTGTCTGTACCAAGATGCTAAAGCCCGTACTTGGTTGGGCCCGTCGAAAAGGTATTATCGTCTCCGCTTACTTGAACGACATACTAATTATTAGCCTTTGTCCTGTCAGCACTTATAGTGTGTACTGCCTACGCACTTATTCTTACGGTCGTGAGATAGCGAACCCTAAAGATGATGCGACGAAGATAATCCCATTGGTACGTAACCTCACCGACCTTTGCTTGCCTATTGGCTCGGAACGCATCAGCAAGCGTATCGAATCCATCAATAGGCTCAGGCCAGTACAAGACAAGAACTACAATTCGCGAGATCCACTATAAGCTATTTCAGTATTTTGTGAGGATAGAAGGTTTTCTACAGAGGGAGATATTCTAGAATTCTTCAAGAGAGACATTGGCTTGGTGAATCGTTTACCACCATTTGCAGGGACATTTTAGATGTCCTGGGATAGAGTATGGTTTGCCCCGGTTTGATATGTCTTCAACAGGGCGGTGACGTCAATAAGTCAGACACAATTCTATTCCCAATAGAGGTAAAGCAGCCTCGGGAGCTTCATAATGTGGAAAGATTGCACGATGCTATTACTCAGGAAATACTGCCAGGAAGTATATAACTGGACCACTGGATATAGTCAGACGGTTATTTGGCCATATAGTTGAGCTTATTAAGGACCACCCTTGCTTCCAGCCCACCGGTAATAAGGGTCAAGCAAGCGTCAAAATTCAAATGATGGTTGCTCTCCAACGACTTATGCACAATGGATCTCTGGCTTCCTACGAGTCGATTGGCCCTTCTATGGGTGTATCTGTTGGTATCGTACACAAGTATTACCAGCGGGTTGTTACTGCACTTTGCGCCAAAGCCAACGATATCATCAAATGGCCCGATGCCAACAGAAAAGCGGAAATTAAGTTGGCGTTCGCAAAGAAAGGATTTCCAGATGTCGTGGGTTTCGTTGATGGGACTGATCTTCCTTACCTGTGCGCCCCATCTTGGAAGCGAGACATTTGGGCTACAAGGAAAGGACGCTTCGCAATGGGGACGACAGCGATTTGCGATCATGATGGTATCTTTACAGCATTTTATACAGGCTATTATGGGCCTTGGCGCGATTCTAGTGCATTCAAGAGAACGAAGCAATTTACAAAAAAACAAGAATATTTTTTTGGGGAGGAACATCTATTGGGAGACGCGGCATACAAGTCGTCGCCCACCCTAATGACAGGCTACTCCAGAATGCAAGGTCGTACCACCAATGCAAAGGAATTCAATAAGCATCTCAGCCACGTTCGAGTAAAGATTGAACACGCATTTGGGATGCTCAAGGGTCGTTTTCCATCTCTGACTTCGTTACGACTTAGAATTGTAAGACAAGAAGACATTGAGGTATCTACAGCCCATGTACTAGCCTGTGTCGTCCTTCACAATGTCCTCACGAGACTTGATAAAGATGATCAGGAACTCATGGACCCTGATTCAAAAGCAACATTAGAGCAAGGACAGGAACAACAAAAATGGGTACGTGAGGTGCAAGATGGAGTGACTGAGGGATTCCAAGCACAGGAATGTCTTGAAGAAGACATTGACTTTAGTGATTGGAAAGCAGTATAACGCTACGATGCAGCAATGAAGGTACTTGGCGATATCAAGCGAGCAAAACTAAAAGCGATAACGTTTAATGAGACATCACTATAGAAATAAGAATCTCCTATGAAGAGTATGAAGAGTGTTTCGAACAACTTGACTATTATTATGAGCTGTACCAAACCTAGTTGGCGAAGCACTGTTGGACCTGGACCTGGGATTGTAAACATTCACATTAGTAATACTGCGGGCGTCACTTTCTGGGAATTGCAATTTTCTTTTTTCTAATGCCAATTTAAGCTCTCTCTCTCTTGTAATTCCAGTTCACGGCCCCGTAGTTCCAGCTCGCGCTCTCTCTTATAAATCGAATGCCTTTCTTCCTCAATTTTTAGCCTACTTTTTTTCTCTTTCCTCCTCCATTTTTATCCTGATTCTTTCTATTTCCATTTTTTTGATTATCATTTCCACTTTTGTTTTTTCGGTCTCGCGCATAAAATTCACCACTTGAATTATGTCATTTTGCTGTGATCCTTTTGTCTTTGGTGGGGCTGACAACGTTTCCTGGTTTGATTTCATTATTGGCTTTGTTGACTTTGTTGACTTTATTGTAACAATAGTCGAGGCTGCTGATGTTGCGCGTCTTCCGTAGTCACCAGGGCCAACATCATCGTCACCACCGTTGTTACCATCATCGTTGTTTTCGTCATTGTCTTCGCTCGTGCTACTTTCAGTATCTGACCATTCCACATCTTCAACGTTATTCTGGACGACATCAACCTTGACACTGGCCCGACGCGTCATGGGGGGGAGGGACAAATGATTCGTTATCATGAACAACGATATCATCATCGCCTGATATTGAACCAGCCTCGAACAGGATGAAGAAATAGTGACATCTATAATTCGTCTGTTCGTCTATGGTTAGGCCATCAGGTTTATCACTATTTTCAGTTGAATTGTAAAAAGTGCATTCCTTGCAAAAGATCCTATACATGGCTTCCACTTTGTTTTTTACTTGGCTTTCGCCAATCTCCAGTTTGCTTTCTTCTGTAGTGAATTTCTTGTTGAGCCCTCACATCTCGTTTCGATCGGCGATCTTTTTTTGCCTTTCCTCTTGCTGTTAAAATTGGCTAATTTTCGGGAAGCGCCATCTGCCTAGCAATATATGTTTCGTGCTCTTTTTTGAAAGAGAATGATGGCCCTCTACCTGAAATGCCTTACTGTGTCTTTAACTCTGATGACTGTAACGATGACGAAGATGGTCGTTTGCGAGACGCCAAAGAGTCGTGTGTCACTGTCGCCGCTTTACGTTTAAGATTTGTTCGTGAAGGTTGTCCAGACAGCTCAACGTGGTAGGCGTTCGAGCCCGATGAAATGGAGGACATCGCACCAAGAGGAGGCGGAGACAAAGAATGAGTAGGGGGAGTAGGGGAGCGGAAGGAGGAAGCAGGAGAAAGTGGAGCGGGTAAACTCGGTCTGAAAGTTTGCCACAGGATAGCCCGGGTTGGATAGATAAAGTAGAGCGGAGGTTGGGATGAAAGAGAGAGGTGAACCCCCCAACGTTCTACAACAATGGAGCGAAATGGATTTGGTTAAACTTTCTCGATTACCTTTAATTGATCGAACAAAGACAACAAGCTTCACATTACCTGGACTACAGGGCGCTGTCGACCGTGCTGCGAAAGATGCAACTGTTGATGGTGTTGAAATTGATGAATTTGCTGATGACGTTGAATTTCCTGCTGCTGGTGCCAGTGTTGATGTACACGCGTTGGTTGAGCAGATTTGTTGTTGGCATACAATGGGCGAGTCCTAATCAGAGGCGCTTCATTTTCATTTTCATTTTGATTGATGGTTTGTTGTTCTTGAGCAGTAGAAGAGTGATCAAGCTCGCTTCTGTCGCTTTGTTGGGATGTTTTTTTTTTTTTTTTTTTTTTTTTTTTTTTTCTTTCACAGCTTGAAAAGCCTCAATATCGTGCTTTCATCGCACGAAGTCCATTTTGCAGAAATGAAAAGACACAATTACCCCCTATAAAATCACTTTTTGAGCAGAGAAGAAGAAAAGCTATTCATTTGTGGGGTTTCAAAATTAAGCATTTGGCCCAAATAAATTGGCGCGTCTCTTTCTAAAAAACACAGTCAACAAAAAGGCCAGTCAGTGAATATGAAATGCGCCTCCAGAATTGGGCGTATTTTCGAAAAAACAAAAACTGAGGCTCTTGACCTTCTCACAAGTAATCACACATGTACATCATGAAGCGATCTGAAATCTCTCAGTCATCTACTTTGTCACAGAATGAACAGCCTAAGGAAGTTTCTGCAGCAGCCGATTCTTCTTCCAAAGTACCGACTGCGATTACAAAGACGCCCAAGGGGCGCTTCACAAAGCAGGATATCGAGAGCATTCTGACATGGTTAGAGTATCCTCCAAATTTTAAGTCTGTGTTTGGTTACGGAGGTCAAACAATTATTGGCAAGCCTCATCAGTCTTCTTACCGAGGCTGGGCAACTTTGGCGCAAGTTGTGTCGAAGCAAAACAAAGGTAGAGACTCACTTAATACCAAATCTGTGCAAGAGCGTTTCCGTCGACATCTTAAGCTTTTTACAGAAACCAAAAAGTTGGAAAACCAGACAGGGTTTGGTGTGACTGACGAGGATCGCAAAAAAGGGATCTACACAACTAAGCACAAGCTCGAAAAAATGTGCATCTGTTATGCGAGAACGGATGCTCTCTTTGATCCAAGGGCAAATGTCGCTCCTCTGTTCACATTTGGTTCCGGATGTGAAAATGGTTCGGAAAATAGCCAGGAAGACATTGAAAAGGTTCCATGTCGTCGATTGATCGGTGAGGAAGAGGAGGTTATGGATCTCAACAAACCGATTGGAAATCAAGAAGCGATTGAGAATGACCAGTTTCTTGGAGATAGCACCCTAGCTGATAATGCCTTTGATAATAGCTTTTATGATGACTTTAGTGCTGGCACTGAATCTGACATGGGAGCAAAAGGAGAGGGAACTGATCTCAATGATGAGAGCAGCAAGGACATTAGTGATCTTTCCATCCCTTCCATCTCTTCCATCTCATCGTCCGTGCTGCATAGTAACCGGAAGCGAAAATTGACCGTTGCTGGATCGTTGCAATCTTCAGTCGCCAGGAAGCGGTCCCGGGTGATAGAAGAACGCAGAAAGCCGCCGACACTAAATCTGGGTAGTTTTCCGGAGACGCCAAGAAAATCATTCTATTCATCGTTTGAACTTATCAGTGGTAAGGCCTAACCAATCAATTGAGCATTTTTTTTTTTTTTTTTTTTTTTTATTTTTAATCAACATCCACAATTGGTATAAAAGTGCTCTAATATTTTTCATCTAAAGCCAAAGAAAATATAGAAATGATGAGGCTAGAGCTGGACAAAAAGCGAATGATACTCGAAAAACAAAAGATTGAAGAGCAAATGAAGAGGGAAGACCGGAAACTTGAACTTGAAAAGCAGAAAATGGAGAAGGAGGATGCGCGAGAGAAGCAGAAGATTGAGATTGAGAAGCAAAAGATGGAGCAAAACTTCAAAGTACAAACTATGCTGCTGATGAAATCAGCGATCGAACAAGGCATGACCATCGAACAGATTCAGTCATTAATAAAATTGCTTCCTTAATATATATATATATTGTCATATTTATTATTTTCGTCTTTAATTTCGCAAAGATAACAATCCCTTTGCATACTTTATTTCCAAACTCATTTTCTTCAAATCCTCCTCTCTAAAATCATTAACGCTCTTCTCAATTCCTTGCTGGGGGCACTGGATTGCCTTCTTCAAAAATGTCCTCCAAGTACATTTCCCTCCCATGCATCTCCGAGACTTGCGAGCATGTTATGAAGTTACACAGCACCTTACCCATCGAACTAGAATCTGCATATCTGCCTCGGATCGGATTTGTTGTCTCATCTCCCGTAAGGAGCCCCATCGAGACTTCAAGATTCCGATGCAATGCTCGATCCTGACGCGAGCTTTTGCAACCCAATAACTGAATTCCCTATTTTCAATTTTGTTTGTTACAGGAACCTTGTATGGTATGGAGGGGGGGGGGGACACAAGTCCTTGATAAGTCATATGCTGAGTCCGAAAGAAGGTGTTCTCCAGGCGAGAAGAATCGAGATGGTTGTTGGTAACGAGGCAGCTCTTTGAAAACAGCGGAATCACCCCAGGAACCAGGGGAAACCAACATGTATTCCGATGATATGCTTATCTACATCGCAGATAACCTGCATTGGAACGGAATATCTAATAATGAAATGATTAATAGCCTCTGTGCTGAAATTGATAACGGTCATAACAAGGTATTCAAGTGTATCCAAACCTCTTCTTGCGGTCAAAGTAAACTTCTCCATTTATGGCAGGCTTTTGTGCAAGAGCAAGGGTAGTCCCATCGATGCACCCAATGCAGCCGGGAAGGCCTTCCTCCTTCATGACTTGGACTAGCTCTCTCCTCCTTTTGGCGTCTGGTCAGACAATCCAGTCATTCTTCATGTCCCACAAGGCTTGCAAATTACGGTTGGTATAGAGCGTTACCATTCCAGTACCAATTCCAAAGGCAAGTTCGAGCTCCGAGAAAAGTTTTCGGCGATCAGAATTGAACGGCATTTTTATATCGGAAAGTGTGAATTGGAGATGAAGGAATGTTCTCTTTTTTTTTTTTTTTTTTTTTTTTGGAATGCTCTTGATAAAAAGAAAAGGGATCTTTTTTGGCAAATAAATTTTTCCAAATAAACCGATTTTGAAACCCTATTCTTTGTTTAGTAGATCAAATAAATAATTCTTTATTACAATCTTTCTTTTCTCTAAAAAAAAGGGTTTAAAATAAAAAAAAAAAAAAAAAAGAGAGAAAAAACAACCTGCAAAATAAAATAAAATAAAATAAAATAAAATAAAATAAAATAAAATAAAATAAAATAAAATAAAATAAAATAAAATAAAATAAAATAAAATAAAATAAAATAAAATAAAATAAAATAAAATAAAATAAAATAAAATAAAATAAAATAAAATAAAATAAAATAAAATAAAATAAAATAAAATAAAATAAAATAAAATAAAATAAAAAATAAAAAAAAATTCTCTGCTCAAACAAGTCCAAAGCCGTTTGAATTCTCAATCGCTGTCACTAAACGCTCCTTCATCTTCTTTTTGCTCGAATACTCTGGAAGCAACAACCGTGAAAAGCACGTCAAGGCCGTCGGTAACCGATCCGAATCCGGACCGTTCCTCTGGATCACAAACATCAAATCCTTCAGTCCTCTAATCGGCACCCGATCACTCCCTGTCACGAACACCAACAGCTGTTTGTGTTGTTCCGCTGTAAAGTCTTCATGAACAATCTCCCAAAATTCCTTAATCAGAGTGTGATTTGGACTATACCCATCATCATATAGACAGCTTGCTTCAAGATCGTGCATATCCAGATCAGAGTTCCCACAGAGCAAAAGCTCCAATTCTTCTGGTCGTAAAAGCTATTCATTGGAGGAAAAAAAAAAAAAAAGAAAAAAAAAAAAAAAGTTAAGACCTTTTTTCTTTTATGATTCCTTATTCTGAGTGTTTACGCAAATTTTCAATTTTCGAGCCTCCCATACCTTAAGCGCCTCCCCACCACAAATCTTCTCAAATCCTCGTTGGAATGCCTCAAATTCTTGTTGGATATGTTGATGGACATAATGGTTCATGTATGCTTGGACATATTCCTCTCGGTTCTCATTCGTCACTGGAATGTCATGTCCTCCCGGTACAAGAGGAAGAGTCGTGACTTGCCCCATGTGTTCATAAGAGATCTCGAATTCGCGCATGAAAACATCGTACACATCCCCGTCTGTCCATGTAAGCATTTGTCCTAACCCTTGACCCAAAGCCTAAAAGAAGAAGAATAAAGAAATGACCAAGTTAGTGGCATATTCTAGCAAAATCAAATAAATAACAACTACTTGAGATATTAAAAAAAAAAAAAAAAAAAAAAAAAAAAGTGCATACCGGAAAAGATTCCATGAACGAGTCAAGACTAATTTCCCATCCTAGCAGTTTGCGATAGACGACAGTCGGGAATCGAACACCCAGGATTACACCATTATACAGTGCTAATCCAACAAGGATACCCACCAACTCATATTCCACTAGTCTCATCCGGATATCCTTCTCTGTCATCTCCACATGACTTGATCCATCTAAAACACCCTCAAACCACCAACAACGTCCTTCTTCCAGTTCCTTGAACAGCCCAAACTGTGCATCAAAAACCTTTTCAACAATGATCTGAAAGAATTCCTTGGTCACACCTCCTTGATCCATCCCCTCTTCTCCAACATCAACAAAGGCCACTTTGAGAGGCTTCTTCAAATCCGAATGTTTCCTAGTGATCTGCTCAAACGCTTCTTCCACAAGGCGGCTGCGACTGAGCTCAAGAACAAGGTATGGCGATGATCCAGCTCTTATTCCTTTCTGAAATTCTCGGGTAGATGCTGTCATTGTCTCGGGAAGGAGACGCTGTGCGTGGTCCGCAAGCGCATGACGAACACATGCTTCCTCATAGTGGCCCGCCATCTGTGTCAAAGCGTCCAGATTTAGAATATGAGATTTGGATGTTGGTGAAAGAAGGAAAGGGTAATCGAAATATGAAAATGCTTTTTGGTCCGAGCTATAATATTACCAAGCATAATAAAACAGTTGACCGTATCCAACATTTAGTACAGAATAGTATAGTATAGTATAGCATAGTATATAACAATGACGGTTTGGTGTCCATGTGGTTTCATTATGATACCATACCTTTTGCCCCATCCTTCACGCCAGATTTGGTATTCATCCTTGAACTTCAATGCCTCCATGACGCCAGAATAAAAGTATTTATATGAAATGGTGGACGGAGCCTGTGGGATAGCTGTCTGTCTACCTTCCATAGCCTTCTTGATAGCTAAGCGTCTTTGCTTTTCCTGTTCACGACGTGCACCAATATTATTTGCCTCATAGAGGATGCTTAAGCCCTTTACTGCGCAGATTGCTGGATGGTTGGCACCTGTAGGTCGAGGCGTAAAATGGGCTGAGAGATACATTTTGAATAGTGTCACCAATTGTGCCATCCCTTCTTCGTCCATGTATGAAAGCCATTGTTTCAGAGTGCCGGTATCTGAGAACGCTGTGAATATCAACAAAATACGACGAAGAAGAGTTTCTTGATAGGGTTGCTCAAACAGGAAGGGATTCTTTTGAACAAAACAAAACAAAAAAAAAAAAAAAAAAAAAAAAAAAAAAAATTAACACATATAAAACTGTTGGATGGAAACCAAAGTTACAAAAAATCAATTACTAACCATGAGAAGAATGATGATAGCTCTCATCTCCTGCTCCGTCCAAGTTTTGTACCCATTTGCAGCCTCCTGTTCCAGCTCTAATCGAGCCAACAGAATCTCCATGGAATTAGTCACCTGGATCGCGAAAATGGTTCGAGGTTTGAGTTCAATCAACATCTCATAACACTCTCGCAAAGCCTCCAAATTAATGCCTCCGACGATGATCCTTGTATGAGATGATTCCTCTTCGAGTTCACAGCTATCTTCATTCACCAGGAAACTGGAGCCTAAAGCAGATGCGGACGAAAATACGGAACGCAAAGAGTCCACCAAGAATGTCGAATCGCCTTCCTCAAGACATGCTGAGGACGAAACTGTGGAACGAGAGGGAGATCCAAATCTGGAATGAGAAATGGGATCGTCGACATCTGAACTTGAAAAAGGTGAAAGTGTACCCTCTTTGCTTGATAGGTTAATCTGATCGACATCCAGTTTCGGGTCACTGTCCCCATCTATACTTTCCAATGATCGAACACTCTCGTCTTCAGAGAGCACAGGTTTGGCCGCCGCAAATGTTTGATATTCTAGTACAAATTCCTGATCATCGTCTCCAAGCTCTAGGAGTGAGAGAGATTTGATGCTGTTGTCCATATTTCTTTCGTATTCCGAATCAAGGTAATTGGATGTCGTGTACAAGAGTCTATCCTCTTCCTCAGGAGTCTGCATCCCTGTAGCCTTCATAGGCTGGAATCCCTTACATATCAAAAGCTCTGGTGATCGAGAACCGAGATCAGGTGAGGAGGAGTTGTATGTCTTAATAGCCTGTCGTAGCAGCTGCAAATTCAAATAGGGAAGTACAACCTTCGATTCTTGAGCCTCACTTATAGAGGATCTCCTGCTAGATGATGAAGACGACGGCAATGGCGGCAGTGGTGATGAAAGACCGCCGTAAGAACTAGCACTATCCAGAGCTGGTGTATGTGTTGACCAATCTCGACAAACAATACTATCTCCATCAGAACTAGTTGAGCTTGAAGAGTCTCGCCAGTGTGTGCTTCGTGAGTAGGTATAGGGGGTTTGGCCTAGAGTCTTCTGCTCCGAGTGATCCGAAAGGGGTTGAGACGATGAAATGTCTATTGTGCGTCCAGGCTGATGGTGTAACTGACTTTGATCGAAAGGCTTTTGATCATTAAGATCTGTATCCACTGAATATTTGCATTCATCATCAGTTGATGATGAAGTGTAAGATCCATCGCTATCAGGATCCCTGCTGGAGCCGAATATTGGTTGAAAGGCTGTGTTTTTGGTACTATGTGGGGTTGATATTTCCCGCCTATGCTTTTGATTCCTCTTCATTGGAGCTCCTTCATCCTGTGCTGCAGAGTGGAAAAATTGAGATAGACCCATAGTACGAGGACTGCGAAGCATCTTTGCTGAATACCCTAGCCCGACGACGTCCTCGCCCAAAAGTGTGGTGCTACCTCCATGGCGATCCTGTCCCTCATCCATTGCCTGCATCCCATCCTTGCGTAGAGATGGAGGAATACGAAAACTTTTCTTTTTTTTAACAACAAATTTTGGTGGTCTGTCAGGATGAGAATGCACGGGGCTAAATGATCGCTGTTGATGCGGCGTTTTAAATCCGTTATCCGAAGATGTTGCTTCTGTCCTTGATGGTGATCCTTCAACTTTATGAAAAGCATTGTTGGTTGATTTGAACCTTCTGGCCCTCTGAGTTGATCGAGAAGAGCGCCCCATTGGTATTCCATGGGTCTCAATCTGATCAGCTCGACGGGGTGATGAAGATGGATAGGCCTCTGAATTTCCAGGGGAAAACATGGTGGAGAATGGTGAAACTGAGAGCAAAGATCGAAACAGTGGTGTTCCTGCACGTTCCAACGGTGGCGGCGGTGAAGTACGTACATTGGTTGGGGACCCATCTCTGCTACGAAGGGGAGACGTTGGCTGTGAGGGCTTCATAGGTGAGAGAATGTGAGAGACGGAGAATGAGGGGACCGATTTTGAGTACTCGTTAGGTTCATAAAGCCGTCGGTCCTTAAGACTTCCAAAATCCTCTACTGAAGCTGCATGAGCAGGTGTTGTATTGTTGATTTTCGAAGCCATGATTTTACTTGAAAGGCTTCGACGCTTTTGTGATGATGACCGAGAATGAGTTGTAGCAGCCATGGTAGGCAGGGGTGAGTCTGGCAAGAGAATGACGGGCTCTGATGGACAATTAGTACAAAAAAAGAGTCGGGGTCTGGCAGCAAGTTGCACAGCAAGGACCGCTGCTGCATCTTTTGTCATTTTGGGTGAGGATTTGCTGGATCGACAAAGCCGGTTGGTGCAAGTAGATTGTTGACAACCCACTGTAAGCTGGTAATAGTAACGTCGGACATTACGTTCGAATGTGTGTTTGGCACGTGCCTGGCCGTCTAGTTCTGAGCCTGTTCGACTTGGTGCTGGTGAGCTTGAGAGGCTCTTTGAGAGGGTTGGGTTAGCAAGGGCCAACTGAACTGAGGGCGTATGTACCTGCAGCTTATTTTGTGAAGATTGCGTTCGGTGTCGTCGCCTTGGGTATTCTGTATTTGATTCATAAAAATTCGAGTCATTGTTGACTGGGGTTGATGGCAGTTGGGTATATTGAACAGACTGTGGAGACGTTCTATCCGTGAACTGTTGTCTTTCAAGATGAACAGATCCGCTAGGTTCGGTATAATGATTCTCAACCATATCATTCGCTCTTCCTGAGAAGGTTCTGGGAGGTGTCCTTTGGTTGTCCATGACGGATGTAAAAGCCTGTGTATCAAAAACCATTGTGAGTGAGTGGTGTGATGACGACGCCGATGATACGTGAGGCGATGAATAACTTAGGAGTGAAGAGGACGAGGACGAGGAGGTACTGGCAGAAGAAGAGCCTCGTCTGTTTCTTGAGTGGGAACTAGAAATGCCTGATGAATTGGATGAAGGAGAGGTAGACCCTGTGTTGGACATGTTGATGCTAATGCCTCCGTTGTTGTTTGGATTGCCATTAGTGTTACTGGCAGGAGGAGGATTCCAATCCTGAGTAGCAGTAGATGGGCCCATCATGTCTCGCTCTCTTTCGAGCCCTAATTTTGGAGTGCTGAGAAGATGCGGTTGTTGTTGTGAGGGCATAATCTTGTAGTTGATCTAGGTGATGCGAGGAGTAGCTCGAATGGATGTGATCTATTTCTGAATGAATAGGGATGTGTTTGTTTTGTCAGCTGTTTCGATTGCTTGTGTTAATGGTACGGAATGAGAGTGAGGTATGAGAATGGATATTTATCATGTAATGATTTGTTTGGGTAAGGAGTAAGAAATATGAGAGATGTCAAGGAATGTATATTACATTTTTATCGGGGGGTAAGGTGAGTGTGCGTAGCTGCGGAAGAGAGCGAGAGCGAATGGGGAGTAAAAGATAAAAGAGTAAAAGAGTAAGAGAAGAGAGAAGCAGACAGAAGTAAATAGAATGTATTAATGGAAAAAGTGATGAGAGCATCAACATCAAGAAATGCCTGAACAACCAATTACATTTTTAATGTATTGATGTATTTACCAAGCAAGCAGTCATACGACACACTTTTTTTCTTTTCTGAATGAAACAATTGTCAAATATGTTCTCTCGTGCTTGAGTGATCAATCATCACCAATAGAAATAATAATATTCATAGCCTCTCATGTCCACATGCACAGCCTCTGTCTCGCTGATCAGTCAAAAGAGCATTTCCTTCACAGCATTCCAAGCCCTTTGGATTCCTGGCACGAATAGGATATGCTCCCTCGGATCTAATGACACCGGATTTGGCGTCATTCAAGTCCATGCTCTGACCACTAATCCTCTTTCCTCCCCCAAGGTCTCTTCAACAGCAACAACAGCAACAGCAAAGACTTCGGATCATGTTATTCCAACGCTGCTTCTTCACTCTGAAACCGAGAAAAGAGTACAGTTTAAGTCTGGTACATTTCGTGCCAGTGCACGCTCCTCCTCCTTACCCAATCTCATCACCGGCGACTTTGAAGGGCACGTTGGACTTTGGGATCTCTCAAGAACAGAGGTGCCCCTAAACACTTTCAAAGCACATGAAGACGTCATCAACTGCATGGATGGAACTGGTTCACAGACAGGTCGACCTGAATATGTCACTGGATGTCGTGACGGATCTGTAAAGCTTTGGGACATGCGTCAAAACCATAAGGAGACAAAAGAAGTCCTACCCATTTCTAACATGTCTCGAACAAAGGGTCAAAAGGAGGCCGATGCCTGGTCAGTAGCCCTTGGAGCCACGGGTATGGACTCGGATGACCTGTTGATTGCGATTGGTTACGACAATGGGGATGTCCGGATGGTGGATATTCGAATGTACCGTCCCATCTTTGAGCGGAATATCGGTCACGGCGTTTGCTCCGTTGAGTTTGACAAGAGACAGGGTAAACCTAGTATACTGACTGCAACGACATTGGATGGTACACTCCACACATTTACTTTAGCAGTTGAGCAAACGACGGAGACAGCCGATGTGAAAGATAATGTGATCCAAGTGCAGTCTGGCGAAGATAGTACGCTCTGGCAAGTTCGTCATATACCTCAAAGGCCTGATATCCTCACTGTAACCGATGGGGGCGGCAAAATCCACATGTAAGTTGAAGCGCTTTTTTTTTTTTTTTTTTTTCCATCACAAGAGTACAAAAGTCATGTTCTTTTTTTTTTTTTTCATCGATACAATATTATTATTATATTAGGTACAAACATGGAGAAAAGGCAACAAAGGCAACATCTCTTGGATCACAAAAAATGTCGACCCAAGGCATCTTATCACTCGAGTTTAACGAGAATTTGGAAGGCATGTTTGTAGGATCTGATCTAGACAATAATCTTCAAGTCGGAATGATCCAACTCTAAGTTCTAGCATTATTTTATTTTTCTCTATATATTTTCTTAAAATAAAAAAAAAAAATAAAAAAAAAAATCTCTTATTTGCGTTTTAACGCTGCTTGCTCTGTTATAAATTCATCGTATGTTGTTGGCAAAGGCTTGGACCACTCAATAGTTTCCCGTCCGGATCTGAAGGCGCAAACTACTCGCCCGCTTGGGTATGCTGAACCACATCCATAAATGAGCTTATGTTTGACACTCCAGAGGTCTCCCATCACTATAAGATGCATCTGTAATTCTAGGCCTTGACCACATGTTCCATGTGAAGAGTCACTATGATCATGGTCATGGTCGTGGTCATGTTGACATTTTTGTTCTGTAGGCTCTAGCAGCTGTTCTTTCTTCGGCACTGGTATGACAGTCCATTTGCCAAAAGCATGGTTCACTACGCAGATCGATGTTGATGATGATTGTTGTTGTTCGGAGGTTGGTGGATT